CAACCCAAACCAAATGCAGTTTGGCTTTTGTAGTGAAATTTTGAGGCACCTAAATCTGTCTGGAAGATACTGAGTCAGAATGAGAACGTCTACCTGGATAACATATTTTTTGGGGATGCGCATCCCAATTGCACTTAATCCTTGTTTGCATAAGAGCATCAAAATTTTAATTGGCATTTATAACCTCTAAAATCTAAGGGTCAAGTTTACATCAATGATTATTGTGCCTGCAGTATTACACCTACTACATTACGCTACAGTCTTATTAAATGCGATAATTGTTTTTATTTGTGCTGTGCTTTGCATTTTTTGTTTCCATGGATACCTTAAAGTTCACAGGCAGCGATTTGTTTATTCAAAAGCTTAGGAAGGCAGCTTCTGTTCATTTTCGGTCTTTGCTCACGCACGGACATACCTGCATAAACATACGTTTTGTCAACTGCTGTTCAGGGTAATTGTTCTGGTGCGATTGGGTCTTAAGAGTAATAGAAAAAACATATTTTTCTTTTTTTTTTTTTTTTGGACACTTGGGATATTTATTGGACTTTAGAAGGTCTTTTAAAGGATTTTATTTCCCGAAGTCACTATTTTATATGATCAAACTAGAGATAAGTACAGGACCTCCTTACCTCTGAGCTGCCTCCATGTCACGGTTGGCTCCGGTTTTCCCACCGCTAGACACATTAGGTTCACGTTGCTCCCCTCGTTTACGGTGATGCTGGCTGAGATGTTGACTATTTTGGCTGGAACTAAAAAAAAAAAAAAAAAAAAAAAGAAAATATATTATATCAAAGTACATTTTATAAAAAAAAAATATAAGAAATCACCACTAAACAATCAGCTCAACGGTAAAGGTGCGGGAAGTTATTAATAGTTCGTAGCAGATTGAAAAAATGGTATTTATAGCTAAAACGCCATTCGCAGTCAAACAATTGCCAACATACACAATCTGTCTTAGTTTCAATTAATGATTCACAGTAAGTAGTAATAGTAAATTTTACAAAATAACTTCTAGACGTTCAATCAATTAGAGTACTGCAAAGGATGTAATATTTCCCCAAATTTAATTTGCCACAAATATATTCTTTGATATCAATTATGGCTATTTTATTAACCTCCCTAGCGGTCTGATTATGTCCATAATTCTGTGCTCAAAGCGGTACATTTTTTTGCATGGAAATATGTATTTTTTTTTATTGTAGGCCTGTAAGTTTTAGGAATAACTCACTGAAATCTGTCCGAACAAGAGTCTAGTAAACATCCCGGGTAGGATAAAATTTGAAACACGAAATCATAAATTATATTATAATAAATAATCATAAAAAATAATAATATAATAATAATAAATTTAATTCAATAATATAATCAAACCAAAAACACTGAAATGTGAAATATAGCGCCAAGTTCGCACATCGCTGAGCTCAGTCGCAAATCGTTTTCAGTGTCTGATGATGAATTTCCCCCACGAATCATTATCACTCAATTCTGCAAGTGGTTCTGATTTACTATCGCTGTTCTCTAGCCGGTCTAAAACCGCTTTTGACCTAAAGGGACGCTTTTTGGACGCCATGGACGTTTCTCAAGTTTCCAGGCAGAAAGAACAGTAAAAATGCAGGCAGGGCGCCGGACAAAGCACTCGGGACAAAATGTATGTGAAATGGTTTGATACAGGAATGTTATACTATGTGATTTTAGTGTATTTAGTGAATGTCACTTTTTGTCATATTCAAATTTCCCGCCAGTTCCGTCCCCCGTACGTCCCGACGTCGCAGGGAACGGAACCCAGAAGACAGATGCCGGCATCCGCCGGAGGACATTACAGGGGACACTGCAGGAGGGCCATTGCGGGCGTGCAGGACAAGGTAAGAGAAGCATAGATCCCAGAGCAGTGCCAGAAAGTGGGCTAAAAACCTCACACTAATATAATGATGAAAATCACTCCAAGATCACTAATGCCCCATACACACGATAAGAAAATCGTCCAAAAAAATTTAGCGGAACCACCCATCGATCGATTT